CCAGGATGTCCACCGCCACCCCTCCCCAAATCCTCACCCCCCTCTTGGACGCCCCCCGTGGGCGACAGCGGCGCGCCCAAGGGAGGCTCAGGAGGCTACAGCCTCCCGAAAAGCCTTCGGAAACTCCTGCGAGACCACAGAGCGCCTCTCGAAAGGCCCCAGGGCTTCTGAGGAGCCCCGCTGCCTTCTGAGGAGGCCTGCCCCCTGTCACTTCCCCCCTCTGCGCGCCGCTACCGATACTGACACCGCCATTCCGTGGACCTCTCCCGGGGTGCGTTCTGATCAGGACTTCGAGGCGAATCCAGGCGTGGCGGCGGGATAAGGGTAGCGGTAGTGGTATCTTCCATGCTATCCACCCCCCCGGGGGAACAGAACGGCACCGACTTCGCTATTCCCTGGAACTCTCCAGGGGCGCACTCTGACCAGGACGTCGAGGCGAATCCAGCCGTCGGCGCCGAGGGCTCTTCAGGGCGACCAACGGCATCAGTAATTGCCTCTTCCTCCTCCGACAGCCCCCCACTCCCAGTCCTCACCCCCCTCTTGGACGACGACGATCCCCATGGGGCGCCAGCCCTGGGTAATGCGGCAGGCCCATGGCCGGCGCCATGCCGGGCAGCCCCGGATGCGGCAGACTGCCGGGGGAGGGGGGCGGCGGAAGAGGGGCGGAGCAGAAGCGGAGAAGGAGGAGGAGGAGGAGGAAGAGGAGGAGGAGGAGGAGGAGGAGGAGGAGGAGGAGGAGTGGCGGGGCGGTGCGCAGAGGGCGCCGAGGCGCATCAGCAGCAGCAGGGCCATCTCCGTGGCACGGGGTGCAGGGGTGCGCACGGTCGCCGCTGCGCGACCAGCGGCAGCGCATTGCCGTCCTCTGGGAGCGAGCCACTGCGGTGCCCGTCTCCTTCACTACCGCACCAGCGTCCCAGTGCACATCGGTCAGAGGAAGTAGGAAGGCGTTGAAAATAGATTGGGTGTCCACCCGCCCCCTGAAGGCCAATGAAAAAAGAAATCACTCGACCCTTGCAATGGAGGAGCGCACCTCAAGTATGTATCGGAACGCAGGGATCCAGAAACTCCTACTCAACGACCGACGGGTAACCTAGGTCAGCAATTAAGAACCCCCCCTGGATTATCGTTAGCAACGGAACGAAACGAATGGTTCGCGGGGGCGGATTCGGCAGAGCGATATCTTTAGCACCGCACCAAGCCCCAAACATGTATACATATATATAGATATATATAGATAGATAGATAGATAGATAGATAGATAGATAGATAGATAGATAGATAGATAGATATAGATATATACATACATACATACATACATACATACATACATACATACATACATACATACATACATACATACATACATACATACATACATACATACATACATACATACATACATACATACATACATACATACATACATACATACATATCCCCCCACCCCACCCCACGCGACCGACATCTACAGTAAGGATTGGCGGTAAGAACGTCAGACGCTTGAAACCCGAATATGGCGAAGTGCCAACACCCTAGGGGCTGGCTTGTGAAAACATCCCTTCCCCCTTCCTCATCACTTTCTTTTTCTCCACGCCGCCCCTCTCCTCTGCGATTCCTACTGCGTTCCCCCAGGGAAAAATGTATGTTCGTCGGTCGTCCTAGGGGGGTCCACCCCAGGGTATCGCAGCCGCCTCGCACTGAATGTTATCTTAGCAAGGGGAAGCGCCGGAAATGATTAATTCCAACTCCCGGCTAAGCAGTGGAAGTAATCGTAGTAGTAATACTTCATAGAAATCGCAGTGGTCGTAGTAATAGTAATTCGCCGGCCCAACGGGCCAGGGCGTGCTAAGATCTCTGGTACCTGGTTAACAGTATTTCTAGTTCGCGCGCGCGGGGCGGCCCCTGGGGGTCCCCGGGCGAAAAGTACCCCGGCAAGGTCCCGGCAAGGTCGGGTCAGAGATGCCGGAGTTCTGTTTCGGAGTCCAAGAGGGCTCCAGATCGGTCCAAGAGGGCCCCGAGAAGCTTTCTAGACGGTCCAAGAGAGGCCCGAGACGGCCAAAGATCGCCCGAAGACGCCCCAGATGGCCCCAAGACAGCCCAAGAGGCCTCCAAGACGCTCCAAGGGCCTTCCAAGAGGCCTCCGAAGAGGGCCCCAAGTTGCCAAAATCGTTGATTTTCATTCCCCATATCCTAAGATGGGGTTCTTGTTATTACTTGGACGCCTCCTACTCCTCCTCCTCCTCCTTCCTCCTCCTCTTTTCTCCTCCCCTCCTGTCGGGCTTACTCATACTCTAACTTGCTCATACACAGACTTACTCATACTCAGATTTACTCATACTCAGACCTACTCATACTCAGACTTACTCACACTCAGACATACTCATACACAGACTTACTCATACACAGACTTACTCACACCCAGCCGTACTCATACACAGACTCACTCATACCCAGACTTACTCATACACAGTATTAGTCATACTCTGACTTACTCATACCCAGACTACACATACACAGACTTTCTCATACAAAGATCTACTCATACCCAGACTTACTCATACACAGACTTACTCATACACAGACTTACTCATACTCAGCACCCCTAAGGGGAGCCGCCAGGGGTGGTTGCACGGGCTCGTTCGCGGCCATTTTGTGGGGATGTCTCAGGCGGTTTGCCTGTTTCTGTGCCCAACATCCTTCGCTTTCGGAGCAGATTGTGGAGGATGTCTCGAGCGAGGCGCTCATTTCAGCACCCCTAAGGGGAGCCGCCAGGGGTGGTTGCACGGGCTCGTTCGCGGCCATTTTGTGGGGATGTCTCAGGCGGTTTGCCTGTTTCTGTGCCCAACATCCTTCGCTTTCGGAGCAGATTTGGAGGATGTCTCGAGCGAGGCGCTCATTTCAGCACCCCTAAGGGGAGCCGCCAGGGGTGGTTGCACGGGCTCGTTCGCGGCCATTTTGTGGGGATGTCTCAGGCGGTTTGCCTGTTTCTGTGCCCAACATCCTTCGCTTTCGGAGCAGATTTGGAGGATGTCTCGAGCGAGGCGCTCATTTCAGCACCCCTAAGGGGAGCCGCCAGGGGTGGTTGCACGGGCTCGTTCGCGGCCATTTTGTGGGGATGTCTCAGGCGGTTTGCCTGTTTCTGTGCCCAACATCCTTCGCTTTCGGAGCAGATTTGGAGGATGTCTCGAGCGAGGCGCTCATTTTCACCCCCCAGGTGGGCCAGATTTTGAGGATGTCTCGATCGGTTTGCTAGTTTTGGTGGCCAGGCTCGTGGGCGCAGATTCTTCTCAGGATGCCACAGGAGGCTCCAACAGGCTCCAGGAGGCTCCAGGAGACCACATGAGGTCCCAGGAGGCATCAGGAGGCCACAGAAAGACTCAAGAGGCTACAGGATGTCCCAAGAGGCTCCAGGAGGCCCCAGGAAGCTCCAGAAGGCTTCAGGAAACCACAGGAGGCCCCAGGAGGCAACAGGAAGCGCCAGGAGGCCTCGGAAGGCAACAGGAGGCCCCGAGAGGCCCCAGGAGCAGGAGGCCTCAGAAGGCAACAGGAGTGGCTCCAATCCCATGTGTTTTACGTATGCTCCTATCGATTGGGCCTCACCTGGAGCACGATTCTTTGATGTTCTACGTATGTTTCTATAGATGGTCCTTCTCCTGTGTACACAATCCTAAATGTTTTACTCATGTTCCTATGTATTGGGCCTCTCCTGGGGCACGAGTCCTTGGTGTTTTACGCGTGTTCCTATAGATTGCCCTTCTCCTGTGGCTCTAATCCGCAATGTTTTATGTACGTCTGTTGCTATAGATTGCGCCTCTCCTGGGGCACGAAACCTTCCTAGGAGGTCCCAGGAGGTCCCAAGAGGCTCCTGGAGACCCCAGGAAGCCCCAGTAGGTTTCAGGAGGCCCCAGGAGGCCCCAGGCTCATGCACAGAGACGCGCTCGTACTACTGAGGCTCATTCACACTCCAATTCATTCGCAGTTAGATTGATGTCCAGACCGTCACAACTGAAGCCCGTTAATATTCGAAAGCTCTTGCGCCTAGACATTCACGGCGGACAGGTCCATGCGAGTAGATGCACATATGGGGAGCTCCACGCAGTGAATAATTGGTTTTTTCGATGCTTTTTTGCGTTCTGGCCTTTTCGCTTCCGGACGCTCCAAGAGGGCCCAAGAGGCCTTCAAGACTGCTCCAAGACGGCCCACGAGGCTCCCAAGACGGCCCCGGAGCGGCCCAAGAGCGCCCCCCAGACGGCCCAAGTGCTGCCCAAGGCGGACCAAGAGGCCCCAAGACGGGCCCAAGAGGGGCTCAAGAAGGGAACCGAGAACTGAAAAATCGAGCCCTCCGCCCCAGAAGGCGCCCAGGACCCCGAAAGAGGCCCCAAGAGACTCTCCAAGACACCCCCAAGACGCCCCAATAAGCTCCCGTGAGGCCCCAAGAGGACCAACAACGTCAGGCCCCAGGCCCCAAGAGGACCAACAAATACCGCCAAGAGCCCGCCGAAAGCCCCCCAAGAGACCGTCACGAGAGCTCAGGAGGCCCCCTGGAGGCCTCCCGAGTTCTCCAAGAGGCCTAAAAAGAGGCGCCAAGAGGCCCCAAACGGCCCCACCGAGGCTCCAAGAGGCCACGAACGCGCAAGCAAACGCCTGCGATGGCACAATACGGGCCGGCGGAATGAGCGAAGCGATTAAATAATAGTAATAACAACGATTATGAAAATAATGATAATTCTACGAGTGCTGATGATGATGATACATGGGCGTGAATAACATGTGGCCCAGAAGCACTTTGATTTAACACCCATACAAAAAAAAACAACGCTTGAAATCTGGTGCGCAAAACAAAACAACACGCGGAAAGAGCGGGAGATCGTCCAGACATTTCCAAGGGAGAAGGGAGACCACAGGCATCTTCCCACTCCACGTTAATATCCGGACGTCCTTTCGATATCCTAGAAGTGCTTTCTCATGTCGTCTTAGATCATGCGGAGCAGGGATGTTCTACTGGGGCACGCCGCGTGACGGAGTGCTCTTTAAACAATTCTTCAGGGCGGTCGTAAGAACGGCGGCTCTGCGTTTTCCTAAGAAGCCTCGCCCAGCGGTTCAGCCGCTCGCCCCTCCTGCCCACGAGCTCCTTCATGCGCTCGGGGTAGCTCGAACGCAACGCGCCCACCTCGAAGTCGCGGTTGGCGCACGTCCTGCGCGCCTTGAGCCGTTCCGCCAGCTCTTCCCCCATCGCGCCGAGGCCCTTGCCATGCGTCGGGGGGACTTCTCGAAGTAGAGCCCGGTCCACGCCGCGGCGGTCTCGGGGGGGACACGTCGGGAATGTCTGGGGGCTGCTTGCTCGCGTCTGCGCCCGCATATGCGCGGAAACCTCGTTGCTCGAGGGCGTCGCAGCATTCGCCGACGACGGGGCCCGTCGAGGCCCGGTAGAGGCCAGGCCCGCGGTCTGAGAGGGCCAAGCGGGGAAAAGGTGTTCCGTTGCCCAAGTTTGCCCGGAGGATGCGCTCCAAGCGGCCGACCACCTGGGCGACCCCTGCGCCAGTCTGCTTCAACTTGCTGCCCATGGTCTCGCAGCGCATCCCCCCCCTGAAAACCGCGATGAACCACCGGATCTTCTTGTCCCTGAACTGGGTCTGCTTTGCGGCGCAGGGCGAGGCCAGTAGATTCGGCGACGCGGCCTTCGCGTCGGGCGACGTCCAGCGCTTCGACTCCCCGCGGGACGCCTGCTCATCGAAATTGCCACGCGGCCTGTCCCAGAGGATCGCGCGGCACGGGTCCACGTAGATCACGTTCCTGCGACGCCACTCTGAGGATCGACAAAGGCGCATCTCCGCGCGCGCACATGTCAGGCGCCAAGCCTTCATCGCAGGTGACAGGGCCGTCTTTCGGTCGGGCTGCAAGTGGCCCCGTGGCACCTCGGCCCCGTCGCCCACGCACGTCGACTTCAGGACGGGGTAGATGCACTTGTCGGCGACAGGGTGGCCCGTGATGGGGTTGAGCGTCGCGTCAGCGCCGCTTCAACTCGGTCACCGTCGGCTCCTCGCCGCGACGGTTCATGGTCATTGCAACATTCGCGATGGTCTGCTGCTTGTGGGGCGTCAGTTTCTGCTTAGGACCTGGCTTCTCGGCCTCGACAGCCGACTTCCCCGGATACCACTGGGGGCCCTTCTCCATCGCGCTCTCGACATTGCAGACTGCCGCCGTGCTCGGGCGACCGCCGCCAATCTTTGCGAGGGACTGTGCAATGTCGCCCTGGCTCAGCTTGAGGTCGCGCTCCTTGGGCACCTGGAGCAAGGCCCGCACATTCGCCTGGGCCCATGGCGCAGGATACACCCCCCTTGCCACCCTCCACCAAGACGGGCCGTTCATCTCTCCTGCCAGGCGGAGCCGCGTCGCGGACAGGGAAGGACGCCATCGATTCGAACGCCGGATGCCGACACAAGATGACGGCGCGCCCGAGGCCGCAGACAGTGGACTCGGGTGCTCACTGGAAATCAAGTCACCCTATTTTACATCACTGACGTTGTGCCGGGTGGAACTAGAGCTAGGTCGTGGCGAGTAGATGCGACGCAGCTTACTTTAGAATCAGCCAGGTTGGGTGGTGTGAGGTTGAGGTTGAGTAACTTCATTCAAATTAACGCCACTTAACCTAACTGTACGCAAATGATGACTGAACCGAACTTAACCTTTAATTTGAATTAGCTTAACTTGGCTCAGCTTAACGTGGTTTAACTGTATGAGACTGACTTAACTTGACCTAGCTTCACTTAGCTGAGTTTTACTTCACTGAGCAAACCCTTACTTGATTTACGCTAGACTCGCTTAGTTGAACCTTAACCTAACTCAAGTATGCTTAACTTAATTTAACTACCCTACATAATTGAACGTACCTGATTCACCCCACTACGCGCGCACTAACGTAGCACGAACTAAGCTAACTTAACGCAGCTGAGCATAATTTACCATGTCTTCAACTAATCGACCTTCACATCACTTAGATTAACATGCGTTAACTTGGCGTAACTGGTTTCACCGCATCTTGCATTACAACAACTAACTTAAATAGAATTAAGCTGCAGCAAGCTAGCTCCGCTTAATATTACAATGCGCATCTCGCCCACCGCCGCGCGCTGCCCTCCCAGCCAGCGCCCCCTCCCGCGCAGAGGGCGCGACGCCCCGTTTGGAGCAATGCCGCTGATGCAATGCCAATGTCCCCGCGCGCCCCCCCCCCCCGCCTCAGCTCATATACTTTCGTAACCCCGAAAGGGGTGGCGCCCTCGCGCCGTTGAAAAACAGCGCCCGGCGTTCCCGCGCCAACGACGCGACGACAGGGAGGTCCCCGCGCCCTATTACTCGACGCGCCAGAGGTGCCCGCGCTTGGCCATGGGCGGCCCCCACGCCGTTAAAAAACAATGCCCGGGGTTCCCGCGCCACCCATGCGACGACGGGGAGGCCCCCGCGCCGCGTTATTCCACGCGCCCGAGGCGCCCCCGCATGGCCTCAAGGCCACGTAGACCCGGACACGATAGACCCGGACACCCAGCATCCCTCGAAACCAATTTTTCCAAACGGCGGCACGAACAAAATACGGCACTGCAGCATTACTAGCATAAAACCTGGACACAGGCACCAAAAGCCTGCAAGACCCCCCTGAACCCGGACACAAACCCGAATCCTGCAGTGCAACGAACAAAACATGCACGTGTGCTGAAAAACGTGACTTTGCAGGAAAAGATGCCGTTTCCTTGGTTTTCCGCGTGCTGGTTTATATGTGTCCTGGTCTCTGGAGGCCTGATGGCCATGGGCAGCGCCCGCGCCGGTCGAAAAAACAACAACAACAACAACAACAACAACAACAACAACAACCACAACAACAACAACAACAACAACAACAACAACAACAATCACTTTACCCGAACGCTCAGTGTTCTCACCAGTGCCAGGGTTTTCATGCGACGCCAGCCAATACCCCCACTTTGTGGGGGGGCAGTGCAAGCTCTACCAAATATCCACACGACTCTTCGCCACCACCCACACCCAGCTTCCCGCCCTATGACGTTCGGACACTTCACTTCGTGGCCTGCGGACGACCGTGGCTACTACACTGGCGTGGAGTACACACCCACAGAAGTTGTTAAGCCTACGTTCGTACACCCACAGAAGTTGTTAAGCCTTGTTAACCCACAGAAGTTGTTAAGCCTTCCACAGAACATCTGTTGCATATGATGCATATGGTACATGATACACATGATACACATGATACGTACTCACAAGATAGTTGATCACATCTTTAGGGCAAATTCCTGAGGGATGTGGGAATACACAAGAGAGAGAGGATATGGTTGTCCCGATGGTTGTCTCGATGGTTGTCCCGATGGTTGTCCTGATGGTTGTGGTTGTCCCGATCGTTGTCCCGATGATTGTCCCGATGGTTGTCCTGATGGTTGTGCTTGTCCCGATCGTTGTCCCGATGACTGTCCCGATGATTGTCCCGATGGTTGTCCCGATGGTTGTTCCGATGGTTGTCCCGATGGTTGTCCCGATGGTTGTGAGCGCAGGGATGATGGCCCTGGCAGGTGCGCAACCGTTGTCGCAGAAGTTCGAAAAAGTTGCTCGCAAAAGCCCGTTTGACAGAAATGTTTAAAAAGTGTTGGGTTTCCTACGAATCCGCAAGAGCGCGCGGGATGAGATTTTGACAATTTTTTGTTGAAAAACCATTGGTTTTTTGATGTTTTTATGTTAAAATCGCTGCGAACACTAAGGTTTTGGAAGGATTTCGTCTTGCGCGCGCGAATGTCCACTTTACCTTATTTTTTGCAAGGGATTCTTGAAATTTGATTATATTAGAACAAGAAATGTCATTTTCTATTGTTTTTTGCAAGGGAAAGCGGATTACAACAAAACAACCGGATCCTGTACACACCCTCTTTTCTGAGGCTTCCTCACGAAAATGATGAAAATGTAGCTGCGGCCTAGGCGGCGCAGGGGGGGCGCGCACCAGGGGGCCCAACAATAATTATTCTTTAGAATAAATAATGTTCAACAACAACAACAACAACAACAACAACAACAACAACAACAACCACAAACAACACAACAAACAACAACAACAACAACAACAACAAACAACAACAACAACAACAACAACAACAATCACTAGCACGTGGGGACACTCCGTTCTCACCAGTGCCAGGGTTTTCATAGGAGGCGGGCAATACCCCCACTTTGTGGGGGGGCCGGTTCAAGCTCTACCAAATTTCCAAACGACTCTTCGCCACCACCCACACCCAGCTTCCCGCCCTATGACGTTCGGACACTTCACTTCGTGGCATGCGGACGACCGTGGCTACTATTCAGGGCCCCGCGGCCGACGACGACGGCGTGCGCGCGCGAAGAAAAAACGAATGTGTCCCGCATGGTATTATTTGACAGGGATGATGGCCCTGGCAGGTGCGCAACCGTTGTTGCAGAAGTTCGAAAAAGTTGCTCGCAAAAGCCCGTTTGACAGAAATGTTTAAAAAGTGTTGGGTTTCCTACGAATCCGCAAGAGCGCGCGGGATGAACTTTCGACAATTTTTTTTTGAAAAACTATTGGTTTTTTGATGTTTTTATGTTAAAATCGCTACGAAAACTAAGGTTTTGGAAGGATTTCGTCTTGCGCGCGCGAATGTCCACTTTACCTTATTTTTTGCAAGGGATTCTTGAAGTTTGGATATGTTAGAACAAGAAATTTCATTTTATAGTGTTTTTTGCAAGGGAAAGCGGGCGTCAACAAAACAACCGGATCTGGATGACATCGTTTTACCTGAGGCTTCCTCACGAAAATGATGAAAACGTGGCTGCGGCCTAGGCGCGGCGAGGGGGTCGCGCACCAGGGGTCCCAACAATAATTATTCTTTAGAATAAATAATGTTCAACAACAACAACAACAACAAAACGCCAGCGGCGCCCTCGCTGACGGCGCGACGGCGGGGCGTCGCCCGCACCCTATTCTCTGACGCGCCCGAGGTGCCCGCGCTCGGCCATGGGCGGCGCCCGCGCGGGTAGAAGCCAGTGCCCGCGGTGCACGCGCCGACAACGCGACGGCGGGGAGGTCCCCCCACCCCGTCATTTCACGCGCCCGAGGTGCTGATTGCGCCATGGAGCTAAGCTAGCCACGACGTCTGCGCGGAAGGCGCTCTGCAGGGGGGCGACCTCCCTCGCCGCCTCTGCGCACCGCTGCTTCAGCGCCTTAGACCGCTCGCGGCCCTGCGCCGCCCCCGCCGCCTTGCAGCGCTCCACGCATCCTACCCGCACTTGGGCTGCGCGTTCCAGATACACGTCGCGCGACAGCTTGTGCTCGCTCCACAGCTCGTCGATCCAGGCACCCTTTACTCTGCAGTCCTTCCAAGGTTCGTAGGCGGATGTCTGCACGAGCAACGTGCCTCCTTCCACGCCCGTGCGTACAAGTCTCCTTGGTCTTTGACAAGTCTCACATTGCCCCCCCTCGTTCTCGTAGGAGAGGCATTGGGCAGGCCGCCCTGGAAACGAGTTGCCTCGAGCGACGTCCGTTCGGGCGCCTCCTTGAATTCTACGACCGCGCGAAGATGCACCCTGTTCGCGTCCTTCGACTTGAGTGACCACTCCAGGGTCGCAGTCCACTCAACGACGAAGGTTGAGCCCTCGAGCCACACGAGGAACGTAGACCACAGCGAAGGAAAAGCCCAGTTTGCAGAGCTACGACTGTTCCACGTGAACAAGCAAGATGAGCTGCGAAGTCGAAACCCAGAATGCTCATCCTCGGCCTCATCCGA